CCACCATCCCCAACTAAAGCTATGTGCCGTCTGAGCCGCATAAAGACAGAGGTCAGAGGTCAAATAGGTTCACAGAGACTCGGGGGCTTTCTCATGCTAATGCGCCCCGATCGGGTCCCTTCCGCAGAACAACAGCAGGCTGGGAATCCCGCTGACGGTGGAGGGGCGCACAGTGCCGGCGTTGCCAGCCAGCGCCCACTTACTCCCCAGACAGGGTCAGGGACGACCAGCGCCGCCCCACAACCTTGATTTCTCTCGCAGGACTGGGGGAGCCTCCTGTTTTTTTCCTCGTCATGAGGCCCCCCCCCCAATGCAGAAATGGAAAGACGTGCAGGTGCATTTAGTACCAAGAACAGGAGGCACTTCTTTACACAAAGGGTGGTGGGAGTGTGAAACCAGCTGGCGATACCCAGGCTTCTTGCCTGAAACAGCTGGATGAGATCCTCAGATCAATAAGTTGCTCATTACCAACTGGGTCTGAAGAAGATTTCACCCTCTGCCTGTCCTCATCCTCCGTTTCTAGTGGTGCATTGGGGTGATACTGTACACGAGGGGCTCCAGGTGCCAAATATGAAATTCTATTCATATGCTAGGAATATGTATTTTATTCTGAAATGCCAAGTTCTGAAACATCTTGAGTGGTCATTTCAGGAGCGACGCCGGTCCAGTCCAGTCAGTCTTGTGGGTCACTCTGCACCGGTGGTCTTCAACCCTGAAAGCAGAGAACCCCTGCAGAGTCTTATAGTCACCCGTTTCTAAAGAGCAGCAAACCTGTAAGCAATTGATAAATCAAGCACGTCATCTGTTCATTTAAGAAAACTCTGATCCTTGAGGGCTGTAAAGTCCTTAGATTTCAGTCCTACATAAGCTTATAGTGACTTAATTTCACCACCGGTTTAATTGTTCCACATTTTGAGATAATGGTGATTTCATGGTGACTCACAAGACCTGCTCGATTGGGCCTCTCCCTGGGGCTGATCCATCAGATGACAGGCTAGATGCCTTACAAGCTGACGCTACGAGGAATTCCTCTCACATACAGCCAATAACATAGTGCATTAGACTGCATATGAGTGCAGAGGGCACATTCAGGAATAGTCCTTCATTCCTATTGATAGATTCTGGTACAATCCACTCCCTAATCTTCATGGTTACCGTTATTATTGCTATTACCATAAAGTGAACTAGATCTAGGAAAGACCAACTGAAGGAAACAGATTTAATGATCCAGTGTGCACTTCCTTCAGTCAATGAGCTCCTCCATATGACTGCACTGTCCTCCCAGTAAAGACTCACCTTTCGACTTTTTGCTACCGCTGCTGAGTTAAGTGAGCATCAAGCCTGCTGTATAAGTAACCTACTGTAGTTTAAGAAGTGTTTAATTGATTATCTGGGGCCAAACCCTTGACCTTTTCCTTCCACTCCATTGTGCTGAGCCACTCAATCACGTCAGACAGGAGCCGGGCTTGAAGAATAAGCAGCATTTAACAGCGTTTTAATAGTTTGCCGCTTCCTACAGAATGTATACTGTAGCTGAACTTTGAGATAATTAATTATGGACACCCTGGGCACAATGGCTTGAGCAAATGTTTAAGCATCAGTCTTTCATACAGCAGATAATACAGGCGCCTCTTTCAAAGAGAAGACGATCCTGGAGAACCACAGACTCACAAACTTTACAGCAAACTCCTGGTCCTCACTGACTACAAGATAGAAAACGGGCAAAATTCAGACCCGTTAATAAATTGACACAATCAACTCATTAAGATCTGAGGAGTGCGATACAATCCTTCTCTAGTTGGGCAGCAGTGTGGCACAGGGCTCATGGTGCTGGATTCGTAACTGGAAGGTTGTGGGTTCAAATCCCAGGTGAGACACTGCTGGAGTTCCCCTTGTGTGAGGTGTTTCACCCAAATTGTTCTAGTAAAATCTCCCAGCTGTACAAATGGATGCAAATGTAAGTCACTCTGGTTAAAAGCATCAGTTTAAGGAATCAAGCAGTTCTCAGTGTTGCTCTGACTCTGTGGCAGCTTAATAGTACAACCCACACACTACACAGAATGAGGCGCACTTGAGTAGCTCATTCATACCCCTAGTGGGGTAGCAGTGCAGCACAGCGATCAGACTTGTGCGGGTTCAATCCTGAAACCACTGTCTAAGCTCTAAGCTGAGTTTAGACAGTGGTTTCAGGATTGAAGTTACAGGGGTCCAGGGTGGCAGAAGCTGTACCTTAGTTACAGCTAAGTTACACTGTCTAAGCTAAGCTTAGACTTAGACTTGGGTTCTCCAGAATCTTCTTGTCTTTGAAAGAGGCGCTTGTATTATCTGCTGTACGAAAGACTGATGCTAAGCTTAGACTATGACAGCTTCTGCCACCCTGGACTCCTGTAACATCTTATATTCTTACAATACCTATTTTGGTGATAAATCAAGATGACAAACCCATAATAATTTTTTTATAGAAACTAAATGCCCACTTAAGCAGTGTTACAGGGTTTTTAGGAACAATCATTTTAGATCAATTTTAAAATTCAACTTTAAAAACAAAACACAAAAAACTAATGAAAAAGAAAACTGTAGCAAGGACAAACCCAAGTTGCAAAAACAAAAGTCCATTGTGAGTGACATCTCGACAGCGTTGTAAGATTAAGGGGTGACAGAGAGGGAGGGCTGTAGTACTGTGACAACACCCCCCCCCCTCCCCCATCACATCACTCCCCAATACCCAAAGCACAAAGGGGCTCTGTCGGGGAGTAAAGGGGTGCCTGAGTCTGTCTGCAAGTCACTGGGACCTTGTAGGTTGTCTGGGAGCCTTGTGTCTCTGTCTGCATGCAGAGGAATTAATGCGCCTTTTCTTTGGTCTCAGGACTAGTGGAGTCCACAAGTGCCACTGAAGGAACAAGAGGCGTTTTGACATGAATGTCTGACTGGGCAGCTTTCTATCCTTTGACACTTTATGAGATGCAGAGGTCTGGCACTTGGGTTTCAGCTCTGGAATTCCTTTTCAAGGGGTACAGAACTTCCCCTGTGAGAGACAACTGCAGGGCAGCCAATGTGAAGGCCAGGTACACTGCAGTCAAGTGCAGTAAACCCCAGGGTAATTATACTGCAGTAAATCGCACTGGAACTGGGGTAAAAGCAACAAAGCCCAGTGGTACAGTGAAAGACTAGTGAATCACAGAAAAGTATGACACACTCAGAGCAGAGCAAATTAGTAAAGCAAGTGTAAGATATAAGCTATACACGTGGCAAAGCTGGGGGAAATACAGTACTGCACAATATTGCTTGTTCTCCAAAAGCTGTCACTGAGAATGCTACTGTTCTCTTTTAGTAGATTTTGTAAGAGTGTTTTTTTTTATAAAAGTTCTTTTTTTTTTTTTACAAAAGATGTACAAAAAGTCAGATTTGACTTTCTTTAAAACCAACACACCGAGAGGAAAAGTCTCTGTTCCGGTTGCTGGCTCAGCCAACGGACCAACATCGTCCCACACCTTCATTTACTCATAAAAGAAGAACAGTATCAATAATACTGTTTCTTTACGCTGGATTAAAACAGTTCGCTTTCTGTGGAAGGGACTAAGAAACTGAGTTAGTGTAGCTTTACTACAGAAGAGACTACAGAACTGGTTTGCTCAGCAGACTACCACATTCGGAAGCTGCTGGACTTGTACCTGTGAAGGGAGGCCTTCTCAGTTATGGGTTGTAGCTCCAAATTAGACGATTCTACTCGCTCCGGTCTCCAGCCTTCTGAAATCTGCTCATCACGCGGGGTTGGTGGGCAGCTGTGAGCAGCTCTCTGTGGAAAACATTTAGATTTGTAAGCCTCACATGATAGTGAGAAGACATTTTCACTCAGTCCATGGAGAGCAAACTCATTTAAAAAGTGACATGGAATTCCTTTAAATAAGATAAAGACCAGGTCACTTTAGAGCCACATACAATTTCTTGCATTAGGAATTTGTCTTTTCACAGACCCCAGCTTCCTCTCCATGAGAGACACAGACGGAGAGAGAAGCTTGGGGTCAGAGCGCACGGCGCCCCTGGAGCAGTTAGGGTTCAGGGCCTTGCTCAGGGACCCACTGGAGTAGGATTCCTCTGCCGGCCGCGGGATACGAAGCAGTAACTTTCTACTCACAGGCGCAGATCCTTAGCCACAGAGCCACCACTCTGCCCATTGGCCAGTGGCACTGGTGGCACAAATCAGCCGCCCTCTTACTAGAGAATTCAGAGGAGGGGCATAATACTACCACCTGGGATATCTGATTAATTTGGCTGATGCGTTTATCCAAAGATAAAAGCATCCATGTCCACAGATGAGTGGGGATGATTTGTTCAGGATCACATCTGGAATGTGAACTGTGTCCACATGCTCTTTATGTATCGGCAACCAGGGAAACTGGGAGACTGTTTCGGTTTCCAGTGCCAGAACTGATGCTTGCATTAGGGGGCAAAGTCTGATTCTTGCAAACTAACACAGTAATGCGCAGTTTGCATTTTTAACTTCAGCAGGATAACAGTACAACGTCTGAAAACGTCACTTGTAAGGTTTCAGTAGGTCTGTCTTAACTTCCTGAAGACCATCGTCTTTGTCTAGAACGGTCTTCAGTTTAATTACACTGTGTCCCGTGCAAGTTCAGCTCCTTCACCTACTTTGCAGAAGTTGCTGCTGCTAAATTAAAAAATAAAAAAAGCTTTAGAATGTAGCAGATGCCAGACAGAACATATCAGAGCAGGTAGAGTCTGCAAAGCAGGCTGTTTGAGAAAGGGGTAGAGGAGGACAGGGCATGATCTAAACACCTGCTGGCTTTCATTCCAGCCCACCTTTAATATCTAACCGCGGCCTTCATAGATTAAACAAGTGGCTGGATAGGGAAACTGGAGATTGGGATTTTATTTTTGCCTATGAAATGCAATCCTTAAAAATTAAACGCCAAACAAAATTCTGGTCCTAGTGTCCCACACACCTGCTAGTTCGGACACCTGCAGCGGGAGTCTTATTGTTTTTTTTAGACAATGCATTGGAAAAAAAAACAACCACAAATAGGCATCCTCTTTTTTTTTTTTACAAATATAAACAGATACGATCTTACCATATCATGTTAGAGTGATGTAATTAACCTCACCCCGACTGATTTGCTCAGTTTTAGACCAAACGCAAGGGACCTTCCACAAGAACTGATCTTCCACCCTTTTACTATCATCACTTTCTCGTATACCGTGATTTCCTCCGGTGATTTAAAAAAAATACTTCACCACCCGAAGGAAAATAATCTGTGGGCGCAAGGGGGAATTGGGAAAAATATATATTTTTTTAAAATGCCTTTATTTGTTGAACGGCGCTCTGTAACTACGGTTCAACCATGTGGTTTACAAAGTGATTTATTGTCCGGGCCATTGTAGTACTTACACTACATTTTTAATTAAAAAAAAATAAACATTCGGGCGGACAAAAAGATGTCTCTGGCAAGTCGAGGTACAGGAGGCCGAGGGGCGGAGAAACCGGCGGGCTGCTGCAAAAGCCCACCCGCTACTAGGGGGGTTTCCCGCCTCGCCGCAGCCCGTCCGAGACTCGTCCTCCCGCCGCTTCAGAACAGGAGACAGGCCCCGGTCTGATAGAGAGACGAGCGGCGTGACAGGCCGTGAAATTGAACTGAATCGCCAACTATGGCGATCGAGCTACGGGACACGTCTGGAAAAGACACCGCTTTTGCCCTTTTTATACATGAGAGACGGGCTTACGGCGGGGGGTGAAAGCGGGCCCTTTTTTCTTAACCATTGGAGTTTTTTTTGTGTGTGTGTGTGCGCGCTGAAAAGGCCAGACTAGACCAGCACACTTCGTCTGCGTTCCTGAGCTCCGTGTTCATGCCGATGTGAGCTCTCTATTGATTTCTGTTATTCTTTAAACGTTAAACACACAGACACAGCCAGACATAGCAGTCGGCTTTCGCGTTACAAAAATACTGTGAGAGGAAACGTGAATCTACACTTGTCTCATTAACAGAAATAAAACTGTTTTTTTATACTACTATTAAAATGCTATTAAAGGTGTGCGGCCGTTACGTGACTGGTTTGGGAATGTTTAGCCATTAATTAAGAAAACACTGTCTACTACGCAAAGCTTTATGGGATTTTACATTTAGCTCAATTTAGCTCAGTTACCATTTGGAAATACCTGTATCACTGTGTTATTGAGGTTTCTGAATTAGGAGGAAGGGTCGTCCGGCCTCTTTAGAAGTTAATTTTACGGAAGACATTTGAACAACTGTTAAGAGAGAAAGAGGCAAAGACATCGCCACGAAACCGATAGTTTCCTGACTGTGGCATCTGATCCTTTCACAGCCTTAATAAATACACGAATAAAGTTATAATAAAATTATTTACTAATAAAACCGCACACGGCAGAGTCATTTCATATTTTCTACATACTTTCACGTCACAACGCAGACATTCATCAGATTTAGAAGTGGGTCTGACAGAAGCTCAGTGGCAATTTGCATTAATAAATAATAAGAAAAATAATAGTTATTGTGCACTTCGCTGCCTTAATAGGCAACTATATTTCTTAACAGTTAAGGACGAGTACCCTTCACGTGAGATGGTTAAATCAGTACTGCCTGTACAAAATATACTATCTTTTCAAGCACCTGGTTAAAGCAAGGTTTGATTATTTCAGACCTGACACCCACACATCTGCGCTAATTTACACATTCTGCAATCGACAAGTTAGTCTAAGAATACGTCGAAAGACTATACAAGTCAATGTATGGGTTAACACTGGTATATGGTTGGCGTTAATAACCAATAGTGCGTTTATGTCTTATGAAGACAAACTGCATTGTGTTAGATATTCAGAACTATAACACCTCAACTATACAAATGTCTTGTAAAAAAAAACATTTTAAAATGTGTATAGATGCCTGACGTATTTATTACACAGGACTTCATAAAACTGTTCTCTAAACCCCTTTTAATTAAGACGAAACGTGTGGTATCGAATTAAGGTGTTCATAATGTAAAAGAAAATAAAACGATTTTTTTGGATGGAAAAAAAACGCTTCAATATTATTATTGTTAATGTTCTTACCGAAAATAGTAACCTTCATTATCAAATATCGGCAGGCGCATTTTGTGCTCTTATTTATTAACGAATATTTTGAGCGAGCCTTAATATTTTTGTGGCGCTCTTGTTAAAATAGATGTTCTCCTTTCCTTATTCATGATGAAACTTGGCAACAGCTTTAATAAAGAAACTGTATTCAAATAATAAATGATGTAATAATCAAATGACATGTATGGACGTGAGTGTATTTTTTTTGTCCAAAACACAAAACAAAACGTCTTTAACATTTTGCATCGAATCTAATGAAATTTAAAAAAGGAAATAAAATGCCCTTTCATATTTTGTTTTACTCATGTTTTCACCTTGAACAAACTGCTCTGTAATGTGTTCTTTGCATCTGATAGGTATTAACAGGTATGTTTAAATATTATATTAACAGATCTACGAGACAAAGCAACGTTTATTATTTTATTTCGTGTAGTATATGTGGTTTCAGATAAATCAGTAGTCGTGACGTAGATCACGTTTTTTAGATCGCTTCACTGAAAACACCAGGACATCGACACCGACAATGTAGAAGTCATTTTTTGATCTCATTTAAATTGCCTCATTATACCCTTATGTGATGCAATTAATCAATATTATATAGTCATGATGCATTCTGCTTGGTGGGAACGCGTTTTATTTTCAGATTTCAATTCTGCGTGTCGGGAGGTCCAACGACAGCGGAGGAGAGCACGTTTCAATCATGTTTTTATTCATTTGTCTGTTTTGATGCGCCCGTGTTTGCAGTCGTACAAGCCAGAGGTTTCTGAAACGGATCCCACAGCTCGTGTCCCTACTGAAAAGACGCGGATATTTACGCGCAGCTGTTGATGCTGAAGTAGACCCGTTTTGTTTTTACTGTTTACAGGCTTTGTTAACACCCTTCTCCCCCGGCATGTTGGGATCTGTCCCTCCTGTGTCCCCACGAACAAAAAGGCGTATTTTAAAGCCTATAAAAGGACAGCCTGCGATTAATAAAAAAAAATACGGTGTTTTCTATGCCCTACATCAAAGCGTTGCACAGGAGACCTCACTATCAATGCAGCAAGAAACGAATTAGCCATCTCGCAGTTTACGAGGTGCATGAAATTTGCAGACGCCCCCTTAGTGTAATATTACAGTCCCGGATATATAGGTGACGGCGCCGCAGATATTCGCGTGACCGAGGGTTAGGGGCTCTGGGGGCGATTGATTTTGGTTGAGGTTAAACTTGCAGAGAGATTTTTGGTTGGTTGTTTTTTTTTCGTTGGGCTTAAAGCGATGATGATGATGATGATGATTATAGCTACGCCGTTCACGGAGGAAGCAGGGAGCGTGTCAGAGAGCAAAGGGATTGGGCCGGCGCAAAATAAAAAGTTCTTAATTACAGACTTCTGAGAGAAATCCACGGCCACGTGAGACCAAAAGGAGTAGGATTAATTGTGAACAGGCTCGAGATCTCCCCGTTCCTGACAGCTGGGGTGTCGTAGTGGGTCGGTTCTCACGCTCGCCTTGCTCTTTTCCCCAGAGCGTTTATTCCGTTTTGCACAAGCGCGCCCTCTCCTGGACAGCTTCAGAAACAACTCTCTAGCGCTCTGGGAACCCGAGAGCGCTACAACTCCGCCTGTCACCCGTGACTGACAGGCCACTCCGCCACTAGCCGAGGTCTCTCCCACGTTCAGACCCATAAACCCATCTCTTCCCACGATA